AGCAGGAGCTCAGCATTTTATATAAATTATCTACAGTGCTGTTCCACTTTTTTAAGGGGGGCAAAAACAGAGTTACATAATTTTCCCAGCCTTATACATTATTGGACTAAATTGTATAAAATAATAAGCACAATTGACCTAAGAAAGCTTGATCACTGATGCAAATAACTCATGGTATGTAGCTGAACTGGAGAGCAGAAAAGAGATGTACTTGAGGACAGCTTTTAATGGATGCATTTACTATGCATCAGTATGCTTTGGCATGAGACAGCACAATCTATGGAAGGACAGAAATACCAGTTGCTCCAATGAGAAAATTAACTAGATAGACATTGGTTCAAAGTTTCTATATTCTATACAGATAATCATTTTCAAATCAAATGCACTGGTCTATAGGTTCACATCTAGTGAAGCATTGCTGGGTAAGATGGAGGCTTGCTGGGTAAAGTGCTTGCTATACAAGCACAAGAACCTGAGTTTGGATCCCGAGCACCCACATAGAAACCAATCACAGCAACATATACCTCCAACCCCAGCACTGGCATTCAGAGACAGAAAAATCCCAGGGGCTTGCTCATCAGCCAATATAGCCAATAGGTGAGCTTCATATACAGAAAGAGACCCTGTGTTTCAAAAAAGAAAGTGGAGAATGACAGAAAATGACACCCAACATTGACCTCTGGCCTCCATATGGAGAAACATAGGTTTATATACCCACATGCACATATACACAGAGAAGGAGAAAATAGGCCAGATGTGATGGTGCATGCCTGTAATCTCAGACTCTGGGAAGCAAAGGCAGGAAGACTTTGCAAGTTCAAAACCAACCTGACCTCCATAACAATTATCAGAAAAGCATCCAAGGTCACAAAGTGAAACTCCATCTCAAAGAAAACATTACATGTCATATAATCACACTATCCAAGCTTTCTCTGAACTATTACTAGTGCCTACTTCTAAACACGAACTTGTGGGCCCTGTGTTGCTCATTCCTTCAAATTAGTTCACCTCACAAAAACATACATAAATAGGTTCAATCAGAACTTCATGAAAATCAAGGTCCCCTTGACGTTTCATCCCTTAAACCTGGTCCACAGTTTCTTTGCTCTTCAATTTCCTTTAGCTACCTAGAATACTTGGTTAGAACTGCAACTGCATATTCAATTTGCCCTGTAAGAACTATAATCTCTTCTCCCTTCTTCTTATCACCAGAGTTTTGACGAGTCACATTGATTTCAGTACACAGTTTCTTCTTGACAGCAATTCCCCTGCTTGTTCTATACTGAGCATCTTGTCGGTCTGTATCTAATGTGCCCATTTGTATCAGCATTCACGATCCTCCCATCGTCTTAGTCAAACCCACAGGTACTCATGGCTGCTAATGTATACAAAGCACATATGAGTACACTGAGAATGAAAAAGCAACAGTTTTAAGGTACTAAAATATATCAGAAAAAAATTTAAGTTATGTTCTGCACATGCTTCTACTGTGGCATAACAAAAAGCTTGGACACTTTAGAAAAGTCTTGTTAAGAAACAGAATCTAGACTTTCTCAGAAGGAAACTTTTTTTTAATTATAACATTAATACCTAAAGAATTTGAAATTTTTAATTTGCCACATATAAAAACCTTCTAATGATTCTTTTTATCATATTTTAATAATACAGTTATGAATTTGGAGAATAAAGAGGTAGCTGTTTGATACTTAGAGTTTCAGTCTAATTTTTATAAACTACATCTTTATATCACTTCCAAACCTGTACTTTGTAATAAATGCATCAACATTTTGTTTTGTATTTACTTATTTAATGTGTGCTTTACATTGATTCCTTTAGTGCACATGTGTGGTGATCAGAAACTTGGGGGGGGGGTGCTCTCCTTCCATTTTGTGGCTCCCAGAATGGAACTCAAGTCTTCAAATGTGGTGGTAAGCTGAGTCACCTCAACAGCTCCAATTATCGCAACTTCAAAAAGCATAATTTTTTAAATCAATACAGCACAACTTCCATACCTTTTTAACAGTTCTGAAATTCTCTTTAGCAAAATAGAAACAAGTTTCAATCCCTAGCCAGCACTGAAAGTGAGGGACGTAAGCAGAGAAAACACACTTGTGAGGAGAACCCGGTATGACTAATCACATTGGAAAGAAGCACTGAGATCATTCTACCTCTGCCTGGGAAACACTGACAGTAAAATGCTACTCCACAGTCACCTGCTTCAAAGTATTCCCAACCTACTATTCCACAGAAGCATAAACAGTAATAAGCATTTTATCTTCTGTTATCACAGACAAAGTTAACAGAGTTGCTACAAAGCAAGTCAAACTATTTCCTTTTGCTTACACTGCTTGGTAGAGTTGGTACATGCAGACACACCCTTCTTCCCCGCTAAAAAGTATTCCCTCTATATTAATTTCTCTAAGACAAAATTACTTAAGAATTCCCGTTATTTTGTATGATTTAAATTTGACAAGTGTAAATTCCATTGCAAAGGAAAGTAACCTATAAACATCAGCTACCAAAACAGCTATCAGGAGCCTTTTGTGTGAGACACTGTCTAGGCATCTAAAAGATAACAGCACAAGATCTCAAGGCTAGCACATCAAATTTAAACCTACCAATTTCCTCCACTTCTTCCAGGAAATCATTATACTCTCTTAGGCTAGGAAAATCTTCTTCTCTTTTATTGTATCTACAGAGAAAAAAATCAAAGTATTATATATCATTGTAGACCATTTTATATAACCAGCTTGCTCATCCCCACTTAATTCATGCATGATATATAGAAGAGATTGTTTACTGTGTAAAATATTGTTTTCTTGATGCTAGGCTTATAACTAGACCAAGAATGTAAGCGGGGTTTGAGGGAGGTTTTGTTGGATTGATTTTTGTTTGGGTTTGTTTTGGCTTTCTGGGTTTCTTGTGGGGTGTGGACGGTTGACTTTTGTCCATGATAAGCATGTACTCTACCACTGAGCTATGCCTGCAACCCAAAAACACTGTTATGAAAATTCTTATGATTACAGAGAAGGCATAGAATCAGGAGAGAATGCTATCACATGACAATTCTTAAAGGACTTAAGGCAAAAAGAGATTTAATGAGGTGCTCAGGGAAGTGAAATGAACTTAAGTAAGACATAGCATTACAAATTATTATTTACTCTAGTTATTAATTCCAGAAAACTGGAGCTCAAATGAAAAAAGACTCAGTTTCTCATGACAATAGTGACCTAAAAAAAACATGTCACAAAATATATAAATACTGGACTGTATGTGTGAATAATAACTGAAAAGGTTACGTAGAGATCAGAATGAAAAGATGAGTCCTTGAAGTAACACAAGTAAAGATCAGCTGGCCACCGATGAAGCATTATTGATGCAGTACCTAGGAAGATGTCGCCCAGCCATTAGTCCCATAATAACTGAAAGGGGATGGAGAGTGGCTCAGTGGTTAGGAGCCTGTATGACGCTCAGGAAAGCAAAATCATGAGGAAAGGAAACAGGAATGACATAGCTCTTTCTTCTGCCTTCCTTCTCTGTGCCCCTTGCAAAACTTCCAGCAGTAAAATGCGGGCCAGAGTATCTGGGGTCCACACTCTCCATGGTGTTGCAGGCACTATGAGGAAGGCTTGGCGAAGAATTTCCCACTTTCAGTGGAAAAGAAGCGTGGCCACTGGCTCTGAGGACCTGGTCCTTTAGATCTGGATTTGCTGCACCTTTCTCTCTCTCTCTCTCTCTCTCTCTCTCTCTCTCTCTCTCTCTCTCTCTCTCTCTCTCTCTCTCTTTCTCTCTCTTCCTTCCATCCTTTCTTACTTTCTTTTTCTTCCTTTCTCTTTCTTTCTTTTTGTTTATTTGTTTGTTTGTTTTGGGTTTTTGGTTTTTCGAGACAGGGTTTCTCTGTGTCTTTGGAGCCTGTCCTGGAACTCGCTTAGTGGACCTGGCTGTCCTCATGCTAAAAGAAATCCACCTGTCTCTGCCTCCTGAGTGCTGGGATTAAAGGTGTGTGCCCCCACTGCCCAGCTGCACCTTTCTTTATAGTAAGACACTAACTACTTAAGAAACAAGGATGTTTAATTCACTCTTTTAACAAATATAAAGAATGTTGAAGAGGTGTCATCTCTTAAAAACTGGAGCAAACTCTTGAATGCTTACACTAGATAAGTTTATAAATAAACAAATAACATGAAAAAAAAGAAAGAAAAATGAATCTGTACTACTCCTGTGGGGGCCTGAGTTCAGTTACCACAGCACCCTCATCTGGTAGTTCACAATTGCCTACAACTCAGCTCTGGGTGGGTCCAATGCAACATCTGAACTCCCAAAGCACCAGCACTCAGATGTGCATGCCCCCACACACACTCCCAAGGCAGACAATATCCAACTACAACAATCATTTTTGCTAGGCGGTAGTGCTGTATGCCTTTAATCCCAGCACTTGGAAAGCAGAGGTGGGTAGATCTCTGTGAGTTCAAGGCCAGCTTGGTCTACAGAGTGAGTTCCAGGAAAGCCAGGGCTACACAGAGAAACCCTGTCTCAGGAGTTTTTAAAAAAAAAAGAGTCAATTATGAGTTAGCTGTGCAGCTCAGAAGCAGCGCATATGCTTAGAGTACCCAAGGCATTGGGTTCAATCCCCAACATCAAAAAAAAAAGTATTAATTTAAAAATAATAAAGCACCCCAAACAAAAGGGCAAATAAAATGAAACTCAAAACTAACAAATCATAAAAATTACCAAACTAAAGTATAGTTAATACTTCAGTGTCTCTAAATAAGCTTCAAAGTGAAACTTAAATGTTACCTCTTGGGTCCTTATAGCACATTTGTTTTGTTTGCTCCTATATTTTCTATCTCCTTAATATCCTACACTACTAGTGAGTCTCATGAGAACAAGGGCTTATAGCTATTGTACACATTACTTAATTACTGCAAATACATATAACACAGGTTAATTAAATAATAAACAGCAAATGAATAAACTGGGAAAACACCAAGAAAGTTCTTGTGTTTGCTTCAGCAGCACATGTACTAACACTGGAACGATACAGAGAAGATTAGCATGGCCCCTAAGCAAGGATGACACACAGATTCGTGAAGAAAGCTTTTCTGTAACAAAGGTTAGATAACACAGTTACTATAAAATTAATAAATTTTGTAAAATAAGCATATAGATGATTTTATAACTACTTTGTTACTTGCCAATCTGTTCAAAATTACATGAGCAAATAATGATGACTACTGACATAACTACTGAAGTTTTCTTTGTTGGCCAATCCCTTGACAATAACACTTACATCTTTAGCACTTTTTTCCGAATTTCAACCTCCTTGTCAACGGTGGGATCTTCAAAGAGCTGTACCCTGAAGTTGCTCTTTCTCAGTGGAGTACCACACTCAGGACAGTTCCCAGCTCCTCTCACGAACAGTAAGTCCACACAGCTCTCACACCTATAAGGAAACACATGCAGCAATGGTAGTAATAGTAGCTAAACAAGAAGAGGTCAGGAATATGAAAGGGAGTTGAGAGAGACAGGAAAATTGCAGTAGAGAGAGGGAGGGATGAAATGATGTGAATACAGTACCCAATGGATGAAATTCTCAAACATAAATTAGTTAATTTGACAGAAAACATAGCACTCAAGGTAGTCTTAACATCTACAAGTTTCCACAGTCTGCCCTTCAGGGAAGGATTGAGGACGAGGGATGAAAATGTCATGGCTACTTACAATTTTACAAAAAATAAAACTTTGCAATATCACTTTTATTTGGTGATAACTTTTCAGACATAGATAACTGAAGAGAAACCAGTTATAGAAATGTAAAAGTAAATAAAGTGAGTGAATTTAACTAAGAAGATTCAGGAGTGGAAACAGAAGAAATGAGAAATGAAAAGACTCCCCAATGCACTGTCACGTCTCTTTCAAAATACACTGAACACCCCAATTCAAAACCCCAAAATGGGACTGGCAAGTTGGCTCAGTTAGTAAAGTGCTTGCTGTGCAAGTATGAGAACATGGGTTTGGACTTCTTGCATCCACATAAAGGCTGGGTGTGGTGGTGCTCTACTGTAATCCCAGTACCGGGGAGACAGAGACAGGGGGATTCTTTGATGCTCACTGACAAAATGGCCTAGATAACCTGTGAGCCCCAGATTTAGTGACAGATCTTCTTTCAAAACATAAGGTAGAGAACCATTGAAAAAGACATCCAACATTGGCCTCTGCCCGCCCGCCCGCCCACACACACACACACACACACACACACACACACACACACACACACACACACACACACACACACACACAGAGAGAGAGAGAGAAGAGAGAAAGAGGGGGGGAGGTATGCTGGAGGCAAATTCTGAACATTAAAACATTTTAATGTTGCCATGATACTGAGTAGGGAATTCCACATAATAAAATTTTGTTTCATATACTAAATTATTGAAAATATGATATAATATTAATAGTATTATATAGTGTCAACAATGACATTATACTTTTGGGGTTTGTATATATAAGAAACAAATATATACAAAAGTGTTTAAGCTGGAATCTCAACCAGATGCGGCAGTACACCCTATGAATCCCAGAGTCAAGACAAGACCAGAAATTCAGTGTCATCCTTAACTATTTAGCAAATTTGAGGCCTGCCTGGGGTATAGTATGAGATCCTGTTTCAAAATAATAGAACTAAAAATATTTTTTCAAGAAAACTTGAATCTTACTGAGCTTCCATCCAGCACTTGGGAGGCAGAGGCAGGTGGGAGGAACCAGTTCCTGCAAGCTGTCTTCTGACCTCCACATGCACACCATGACACACATGTGAGCACACACATACACATGTGTGCATGCACGCACGCACACACACACACACACACACACACTAAATGAATATAAATTCTAAAATCCTAATGATAAACAAAAATTTCACAGATCATAGCAGTCATTCCCAAGATCAACAAAACCTTAGGGAAAAGACACTGTGAACTTGAGGGTAAAGAAATATCTCATTTCTGCTATATCTTGAGGTTAGAAAAAATTAAACTCAACTACAGAAGTTGGAAATGGACATATTTTAACCAGCTACAGACATTGATAAGAAAGGAATCATCTGAAATATTTGAAAGGTACAGAGTCTCAAAAATGTCATATTTCAAGGTATCAAAGACTAGATTCAATTAACAATTCAGCTATTCAGAGTATTAAATACCTTAATATTTCTAAAATAGTCACATTTGGGGCTGGAAAGATAGATTTGCTTTATACAAACATGAGGACCTGAGTTCAGATCTAAGGGAAGAGTTGGGCATGGTCACATATGCACCTCTAACTCCAGTGCTGTGGAGAGTGGAGATGAGGACTATCACCTAGCTCCAGGGTCAGTGAGACACCCTGTATAGAGTGACAGAACAGGACACCCGACAGCTTCCTCTGATCTCCAAGCAAGCACAGGGGTGTATGCACCCACAGATCATGTGCATACACTACACACACATATATCGTACTCAACAAATACACATATAATATACTCATACAAACAAAATGAATAACAATAAAGCATAAATATTTCTTAAAGTGTTATTATATACTAGACATATATTACTTGTGTTTAATCAATTGTACATTTCCACTTTTTAAAAAACCTGCCTTAATCATTTCCTGGTGGTAAGGAACTGGGTGGCCAACAGCTTGCAGAGCAACATGTGCTCAAGCTTGGTTGTGACTACTGCAATACTCTTAGTCCCTGTGCTGTTGCTGTGAAGAGACATCATAACCATGGCAACTCTTACAAATGAATGCATTTAATTGAGGCTTGAGACATGCTAACAGCTTCAGAGGTTTATCCGTTATCACTGTGGCAGGAAGCAGGAAGCACACAGCAGAAATGGTGATGCAGAAGTAGCTGAGAGCTACATCCTGATCTTCTGGCCAAGAGGAAGACTCTGGGTTTGGCATGGACTTTTAAAACCTCAAAGCATCCCCAGTGACACACTTTCTCCAACAAGGCCATACCTCCCAATCTTTTCAAATAGTGCCACTCCCTGGTGCCCAAGCATTCAAATCTAGAGCCTGCAGGGCCATTCTTACTCAAACCACCACAAATGACTATCTTAACCCATGATTCTCAACCTACGAGAAAGACACACTGCGGGGTAGGAAAAAAAAAAGGATGTAAAAACTACCAGAAGTGGACGGAAAAGCGGGTCAAGGGCCTGACTGACAAAACACCAGCTGCATTTCAACAGGGAAAGATACTTCCAACTCCATTCTCTGCTCCTCCTTAGGCAGAGGCTATGATCCTGCTTCCTACCAGTCTCTGGTATGATACCCACTCCCCGTATGACAGGTCTTCCCATGATGCCAACAACGGACCCTCCTCCTCCTCCTGGAATAGAGCCAAACATGGGAGCCCACATGCCCAAGATGTCTAGGCCTCCAAGATGTCATGCCCACTGGAATGACCAAGCTAGATAGAGTAGACGGGTTTCTCATCAGCTTTGTTTCACTTATTTATTCTCTTTCACCAGGAAGTCTTGGTGCTGAGCCTGAGTGTTTCCTAGTTGAATGATAAAGAAGGCTTCCCCCTTCCTAGTAAAGAGAATAGTTTTGAAGGGGAGAAGTAGAATAAAAATTACAATTTTCATTTGAATAATGAAATGTGAAAATAAAATTATCAGCTGTTTTAGCTTTTAAAAAACAGCTTCAAAGCCAAAAATAATTAAAGCAGCATTGCTGTGGGGTAGCTAAGTGTTAAAATGTGTGATCAGAATAAATGAGGTCCTAGGTTCAATTCCCTGAGTGCACTCCCTCCCTTTTCAGAAAAGGGTAGAAAAAAATTGCTTTTTCTGAGGTGTATTTATGTGTGCATGTTTGCCTGCATGAAGGTATGTGCAGCACAGGCACACATGGTGTCCACAGACATCAGAAGAAGGTTGGATCTCTTGAAAACAGTATCATGAACAGCTGTGAGCCACTATGTGGGTGGAGCTGAGACCAGGGCCCCTGCATGCTTTTGATGGCTGAGACATCTCCAGCCCCAACAAGCTACTTCAGAATTCTCTTACACTGTTCGATATTTCATCTATCTATTGCTTATTTACTTAATTTATCTGGGGGCTGGGAGCTGAAACCATGGCTCTCATTATGCTAAGCGCATTGTCTGAATCACATTCTCTTTCTGAGTTAGCCTGCAGAAAGAAGACAGAACACCCTTACTGTTTAAACAACATGAGGTACACAGAGAAAACACAGCTTCAGCTCATCCTGCTCCACATCTCACTCCTAGCAAACTGCTGGTTCTGTTTATGTGGGCACATCTTTTTCTACATATTTAAAACCTATAGGCATGAAAACTAGACATATGAAAAGAACATAAGGAAAGCTGATAATTGCTAGTTGTATTTCTCTGGCAGCAGAACCACCAGGTCAGCAGTATATGGGCAATCACTTGCCTACAACATTCCTGGGATTCTTTCAAATAAAATCTTATATTTTACAGAACACAGAAAAAATGCTGAAAAAGTCTAAAATTGTCTGTTATTATGTATACTTCCAAAGACGTATTTAAGGTTTTTCTTTTCTTTTTTAAAGACCAACATGGCACCCTCTCCTTTCCCCTCTGGCATTTACTAATGTCAGATTTTATTTTATTTCATGAAAAATTGAGGCCAGGAGTGGTGCCCATATCTGTAAATCCAAGAGTGTGGGATTTACAGTAATATTAATTACTTTAAAAACCAAAGCTAAACCCACATGAAGAAGATTGAGTAATGGCAAAATAGAACAGCTAAGCTGAACACTAGCAAAACATAGAAGGTGAGACAATGGCTGTGACCAGGGATTCTTCTCATGGCACCAAACACAGTAACAAAAGAAAAAGAGAGAGACCATCTGAATTTTATCAGACTTTTTTTTTTCAGTTGAAATTTATATTAGAAACAAGGTTGCTTCACAAGTCAGTTCTAGGTCCCTCTCCCTTTCCCTCCCCTCCTCCCGTGCCTGCCCCCAACACCCCCCCCCCGTTATCCCCTCATTCCCCCAGAGAGGGTGAGAGAGAGAGACAGAGAGAGAGAGACAGAGAGAGAGAGACAGAGAGAGAGAGAGAGAGAGAGA